GTGGTCCTAGCTACTCAAGAAACTAAGGCAAGAGAATTGCTTGAACCTAAGAGTTTGAGGTTGCTGTGAGTTATGACTTCACAGTACTTGATTGAGGGCGACAAATAAAACTCTGTCTCGGAAAAAGAAAAAGAAAATCATCCTTCACCATTACTTATCCTGGCACTCCTGACCACAGGATCTGAGTTGGGGTGGAAACTCTCTTGGTAAGGAGAGTGTATCTTTCTAAGCAATGTCCTGCTAGTAAGACCTGTTGGCTCTACTTCCAAAACAATTTCTCAATGGCCTACCGGAATCTAAGTCATCACCTCCCCACTCCTCAATCCTGAATCAGCCTCCTAACTGGCCTCTCTGGTTCCATTCTTGTTTGCCTTCCAACTAATTCTCTACTTGATAGCCAAAGTGGTCTCTCTTTCTTATATTCTTTTATTTTGAGACACAGTCTCACTCAGTTGCCCTGTGTAGAGTGCTGTAGCATCACTGTAGCTCATAGCAATCTCAAACTCTTAGGCGCAAGTGATTCTCTTGCCTCAGTCTCTAGAGTAACTGGGACTAATGGCGCCAAGAACTCTCCAGCTAGTTTTTTTCTATTTTTAGTAGAGACAGGGGTCGTGCTTGACCAGGCTGGTTTCTGAACTCCTGAGCTCAGGATCCCCTCCCCTACCTCCCACAGTGCTAGGATTATAGGCGTGAACCACTGTGTCCCACCTAACATTTTTTTCACTTATATGACCATTGTAGAAGACTGAAAAACCAATAAGGGGATAAAAAAAGAAAAAAATTATCCACATGCAGGCTCATCAGCACCTATAGCTCAGTGGTTAGAGCACCAGCCACATACACAGGGCTGGCAGGTTCAAATTTGGCCCAGGTCTGCTAAACAAAGATAACTACAACAACAATAAAAATAGAAGGGCACTGAGGCAGGCACCTGTACTCCCAGCTACTTGGGAGGCTGAGGCAAGAGAATTGCTTGAGCCCAAGAGTTTGAGATTGCTGTGAGCTGTGATGCTACAGCACTCTACAGAGGGTTACATAGTGAGACTCTGCCTCAAAAAAAAAGTTATCCGCATGCAGTATTCTGAGTTAACTTCTGTAAACACTCTGATGTATTCTTCTAGTCTTCCCTCTGTGTATGCATACATGATGGGCACGTGCACACATGTAATTATCTTTACAAGATTGGTATTATACCATAAAGTTGTACATGCTGCTTTTTTCATTTTCTACATACATTTTCCAGTTTATAAACTGTTCTTCATTAACCACGGTTTTGGGGTTTGGGGTATACTTTACATACTCACATGGTACTAAAATCAGAAAGAACAAAAGGATCTACAGCAAAAAATTTTCTCCATCCCATCCTTCAACCACCATTTCCCTCCCCCGGGGGCAACTATGATTACTGTTTTTGTGTGCAGAATAATCTTTTCAAATCATAAATTTCATCATGTCACTCCCCTGCTTAAAACTCTCTGGTAAAGCCATCACCTGGGCAAAAAAATGCAGGCTCCTAACCAGTCCTACCCAGGAGGGAGAGCTCAGGCTCTGGCTGTCCTCTGATTGCTCCACCTTTCCCCTCCAGCCACTGAGCTGCTGCTTCTGTTCCTGCCTCAGGGGGTGTGATTTGCTGTTCCCTCTGCCTGGAATCCCCTTTCTCCAGGTCTTTGTCTTAGGAGGCTCCTTCTCAGCCTTCAGGCCTGGGCTGATTGTCCTCTCCCCGGGGTGGCCTTCACTGGCCTCCCAATCCAGGGCCCTCTGGCCTGCTCCCACATATGTACACATCTATTATATCACCCGTGGTATTTCTTTCACATCACAAATCACAATCTGATATTGTCTTGGTTACTTAAAGTTATTTACTATCTGTCTCCGCCCCACTAGAAAGAAGCCTCTCTGAAAGTAGGTATGCTACCTTTCTTGTTTTCCCCAGTTATCCTACTGCCTAGCACAGGGCCTGGCACGTGATAGGTGTTTTGACAAATTTCTCTTACAGGAATCAATGTGTTGACCACAGTGCTGGTTACTGAAAACTGCCACTCACAGGATTTCCAAGCACTAAGAAGTAACCCTCTGGCCATCGTCTCCCACTGCCTGTCCCATTGCCTGGGTTGGAGGTCAGAGGGTCAGAGAAAGGAGGACAGGAGCCTGTTGTCCAAGGCAGCCAGTGTGCCTGTGCAGTGATGGCCTCTTCTCTGTGGCTCAGCTCACCCCTTACTTGTGCTATGCATTTCCAGAATCCAGAATCAGACAAGGAATTTGTGATAAGCCCAAAGTCCTAGAAAATCCTCCAGCAAGTGGAAACTTAGATGTGACACTTATGCCCGTCACTTACCCAAATCCTACATGCAGTTTGCCCAGGCAACTATGCTAGTCCAGGTTCCCAAGTGAGCCCCAGTAACAGGAGACAGACACCACCCAGGGAACAGAGTCCCTCCAGGAACAGTCCCTGCCATCCCACCTGACTCTTCCCCTGGGCCCCAGACATCTGGGCTCCTCTCTCTGAAAATTCATTCTGCCCCAGAGACACAAATGCACATCCAATCAGCCCAGGCTCAGGATGCTCAGGGGACACTCTTTTGGAGACACTTTCTTCTTGGGACCTGATTTCCACTGAGAGAACACTGCACTTGAGCCAAGATTGATTTTTAAGAATGAGGAAAAGAGGGAATGAAAAAAAAACCTGCGATAAGGGAGGGCAGAAGGAAGGAAGTCAGAAAAAGAAGACTCAGAAAGATAGAACTAAGAAAGCAGTGGAAAGAGTAAGTTTGAGCAAAGAGCCAGAATCAGGAAAGGGTGGGGAAAAGTCTGAGTTCTCTTCCTTTCCAGAATTGGACAATTATTGTAATTGATTAGGTGAGCACAATCCCAAAGGGCTCTTCTGGGCTCTCTGTGTAAGGTCAGTTAAAATAATAATGGCAATAACAGCTAATATTTATCCAGCACTTAGTATGTAACAGGCACTGTTTTGGGCTTTTTATTAAGCATTTAATCCTCAAGACAACTTGATGTGGTGAATACTGTTCATATTAACCCTGTTTTGCAGATGAGGAAACTGAGGCATAGAGGTTAGGGTAAACTGCTCAAAGCCACACACAGCCAGTGGCAGTATCTGGAACCTAACTCCAGCTCCCAGGTTCTTAACCTAGGCTATACACGGTTCTCAGTGATCCAAGTTCGTGGATCCCTGCCCTCCTGGAGTTCATGAGGTCCCAAATAGTACCCTCAATAGGTGCACGACTCTGCTTATTTCACATAGAAGAAAGTCCTGAAAAGTTAAGGAACTAGCCCAAACTCACACTGCCCATCGCTGGTGAATTAGAATACAAATGTGCTGAATCTCAGCACCTTGCGAGGCACTTCCTAAAGGGCTCACTGGAAACCCAGGTCAGCCTGGGAGACCCTGACTCGGAATCGAGCCCCGGCAGGAATGGCGGAACCAGGAGGTGGAGAGCGGGGCAAGCGGGCCGGCACCGCCTCTAGCGAGTCCCAGAGCAGGATCACAGAAGACAGGAAGCCCGCCACAAGCCGAGGGCAGAGGGCAGGGAGCGGCCTGGGTCCGCGGAGGGCGCTGCCTGGCCCGAACGGAGTCCAGGACAGCTAAATGGGCAGAATTATACACCCATCTTTGAAACTGGTCTGTAGTGATCATTTCAGACATACTGGTTTGGAAGGCATCACTTCAGGAGGGTGGGAACCCACCTACTTGGACCACTGAGAGCCAAGAACAGTCTAGTGTTAAAAGCCAGGAGCATCGTCTCTCGCTTGCTTGCGCCAGACCCCTGCACCAACGCCAGCGACGAGGCACCCTGCCCGGAAATTCCCAGAGAGTAAAAGCAAACTTCCCAGGAAAACTCCTCGGCTTCCTCCAAACCCCTGTCACCGAGGCGGCTGCCAAGAGCGCCAGCGGAGTCCTTGCAGCTGCCGTGGGCCCTCCAGGGTGGGAGCAGCCACTAGAACGCTCGGGGTCCGCCTGGAAAGGTTCAGGGCTGAAGTTCAAAATTCACTTCCCGCCCAGGCCTGGCTCCCGGCCCCGCCCGGGACTCTCCGACAACCCCCACGTCTCCTGCCCTCCGGAGCTCCAGTTTAGTAATGGAACACCTACAGCTTGAGGATCATGCGGGCCGCCGGGCGAATCCCGCGGGCGATCCCTGCGCTCCTGGGGACTCGAAGCAGCCGGAGCCAGCGCGCACACACACATAGACACACGCGCGTGTGTGTCGGTGTGTTTACGTACGGAACGCGCGGGGTGGGAAAACAATGGCGAGCCGCTGGGAACAGAGGACAACCCCCCTCCGCATCTCCCTACCCCTAGGCGCGATTTGCTTTTGCAGTGAAACAGGGATGAAAAGGCTCACCTCCAACATCCCAGGACGGGAGGTGGGGGTCTAAGAAGCAGGCTGGATGGGGGTGGGGGTGGAACCCAAACAGCCAGAGCAGAGAACAAACAGGATGCAGCGACCGGCTGGTCCAATGGAACGACTCTGGAACGGTGGCGAGGGGTGCGCGACTGGCTCCCGATAACCCACATAACCAGGGTAGGGGAGCTCTGCGACTCCTCGCAGGCACCCGAACCCCACACAGGACCCCGCACAGGTCGCCTTGGCTTCCCGCTGGGAAATCCTTAAACTGGGCGCATAGTCGGGCTAGTGAGAAAAACCTAGCGGGTTCCAGCCGGGTCGCGAAGAGCGGGCTTGGGGGCGGGAGCACCCCAAGCTCGGCTAGTGTGGTGCGCGCATACAAGCACACAGCCATCCCCGGTCTCGCCGGCTGCCACCCTTCTTCACAAGGATTCGGTCTACCCGGGAGGAGCCGCCACTGGCCGGCAGGTTTGGGGATAGGTGAGGGTCCGTTCCTCCTCGAAAAACTTTGCAAAGGATGGAAACTCGGAGGGAGGAGAGCTGAAGTGTACCCAGAACCGTGGGGGCGCGAGTGTCAAACTTCCGAGGGCCGGGGAGATGGGCGCGACGGCGCGCTCGGGCTCGGAGGGGCGCACTTACTACTCAGCCAGGCGCTGGGCTCGCGGCTCCGCGCTCCCGCTCCTCCTCCGTGCGGTCCTCGCGGCTGGCTGCCTGGGCTTCCCGCTCACATGCCCCGGCGACGCAGCGGGCGGGCGGGCCGAGCTGGGGCGGCTGGGCAGGGAGGAGGCACGCCCCCCACCGTCCGCCCGGGAGTCGCTCCGACCCCACGGCCACCCCGGGTCCGCGCCCCACCAGGGGCCGCCGTCCCGGGCGGCGAGCTCGGTTCCGGCCGAGCGGCGCCGTCCGCCGAGCCAGGCCGCTCTGCCCTCTGCCCTCTGCCCTCGGCTTGCGGCCGTCTCCTTGCCTTCCGCGGTCCTGCTCCCCGACCTGCCGGACGCGGCGCTGGCCCGCCCGCCTCGCTCTCCGTTCTCCGGCTCGGCGCTGCGCGCCTCGGCTCGGTTCCGAGTCAGGGCCTCCGAGGCTGACCGCTGCGCCCGGGGCTCCGACCTGGGCTTGCCGCTCTTGAGCCCGGGTTCCAGGACCCGCGCTCGTACAGTTCAGTTCCAAGCCGGGACTTAGAGCAGAGGCTCGCCGCTCGCGGCTCGCTGCTGCGAGGCAACTGGACAGCCTCAGAGGAGAAAGAGGGAGGGAGACCGAGAGCGCGCAGGGGGAGGGGGGGAGGAGCAGGGAGGAGGGTGGGAGGGACAGAGAGTTTCCTCCTCCTCCCTGCAGCCGGGTCCATCCAGGCATCAACAGCTGGAAACCTCTGTTGGGAAGGCTAGAACTAAGGAGGTTCCTAGGCAGCGAGGGAGGGTGGAGGTGGAGTGAGGAGGTGGGGAGAATAAAAGAAAGAAGGTGGATTCTGCCCAGTCCCACTGCTCAGGTTTGAGGGTAGCCTCGGAGAATCTTTACGCCACTGAACAAGACCTAAAAAGTTATTGGTTCATCTCCAAGCCTCGTGTAACTGGATTGGGGAATTTTTAAATCCCCATTTCAGAACCTCCCTTAAAAACCTGATCCCCTAGCACTCTGGGAGGCCAAGGCCCGCGGATCGCTAGAGCTCAGGAGTTGGAGACCAGCCTGAGCAAGAATGAGACCCCATTTCTACTAAAAATGAAAAACTGAGGCAAGAGGATCACTTGAGCCCAAGAGTTTGAGGTTGCTGTGAGCTACCACGCCAGGGCAATCTACTGAGGATGAAAAAATGAGACTCTGTCTCAAAACAAAAACAAAACCTGGCTCAGCGCCTGTGGCTCAAGCGGCTAAGGCACCAGCCACATACACCTAAGGTGG